TGATTATCACACCCCTATCACACTCATATCACATGATTATCACACCCCTACCACATGATTACACCAAAATTTTAACTTATTAACCAAAACGATAACCCAAGTGATGTATAATGGTGATTATCACACCCCTATCACATGATTATCAAACCTATATCACATGATTATCACACCTATATCACATGATTATCACACCTAGTATAATCCTAACCTATTTCGTAACCGTTTTACTAGATAATGATAATAACGAGTGTTTAAAAGATAATGATGTGTTTAAAAGATTTGATGATATCATTTCCATTATTACCCTTTTAATTTTAAATTTTTTTGAATCTTTTTAAATTWAAATTTWAATTTTAAAAATCTTTTAATTTTATTTTTTATCACAATATGAGGTTATTGGGTTGTTCTTGCGTTCTCGTAAATCAAAGGGGTTCTCGTTTGAACCCTTCCCTATATATATATATATGTTGGCATAACATCAATCCTATCCTTCCTGTATATGGCTTCATTGGTGTTGCTGTTGACAGCTCTTGTGAGGCATTCCAGTTCCATGTCTCCAATTGACAAGGACACAACCAAGTTTTGTTGTCATCATGACATCCTCTCTTGTAGCAGCAGCAGCAGCAGCAGCAGCATTCAAGCAGCTAATCAACACTTGTTTGTGTGGAAAAACATGGATCATAATTGTATTTGGCCCAATCAATTCTAATTGAGGCATATCAATTCCTTTTTGTTTGTTTTACCAGTTATTAATTAATTAATTAATGTTAGTGCATGTCTTGTTCCTTCCTAGCTTCATGTATCCAGCAACTTAACCAAACAGATCATATATATATATATATAGTTGTCATCATTAATCAGTGAGAGAACTATATATATGTACTTCATCAAGATGACTATGAAATCCAAATGAATTTCCAGTAGCACAATAAATAAATGTTAACATATGGAGCCCTTAACCTGCAATGGATGGAAATTAATAAGACTTAAAAATTATCATATAATACTGATCAACTTTTCACTTATAGGGGATACCAATTGAAGAAAGCCTCAAATTCCAAACCATATATATCTGAACATACATACAGATTATAGATACCATCCCTTGAGATTCATTTTTACAATAAACTAATCAATTTCTTACTACTTGATTTATTAAATTCCACCACTGACAGCTGTATTACTTTACATGAAAGAATCACCTTCACTTAGATTGGATCAAGTCAATAATTACACTACAGACTACTGAGTGAAAACATGATGAATCAACAATCTTGGATTCTATGGCTTTGGATGCTATTTGGTATCTCCATGTCCACTAAACCTCTGCTTATTAACTTTGGTGATTCAAATTCCGACACAGGAGGAGTGCTCGCCGGTGCAGGACTTCCCATTGCCCTTCCACATGGCATTACTTTCTTTCACAGAGGCACCGGCCGTTTTGGTGATGGCCGACTCATTCTTGACTTTTTCTGTCAGTTCCATCTTCTTCCCTCCATTTCTTTTTCTTGGTCATATATAATATATTGTCGTTAGTTTTATTATTGATTTTTCAACAGGTGAACATCTCAACTTGAGTTATTTTTGCCCATATCTGGATTCATTGGCACCAAATTTCACAAGTGGTGTAAATTTTGCAGTAGCTGGGGCGATGACACTGCCACAGTTCGTTCCTTTTCAGCTTGATGTTCAAGTTCACCAATTCGCACACTTCAAGAATCACTCACTTGAACTCCTCCTGTCACTTGGTAGCTTTCATCATTACATTTACTACTTGTGTGCTCTTATTTTGTTTAAAAGATACATTGACAGGTGGTTCTGGGAACTTTATCAACCAAGATGGATTCCATAGCGCTCTTTACATGATAGATATCGGACAAAACGATCTGCTGGTTGCACTCTATGCATCGAATCTGAGTTATGCACCTGTGGCAGCCAAAGTTCCATCTTTTATTGCTGAAATTAAACTAGCTATTCAAGTGAGCATCTGTTTTCTCTGTCTCTTAACTAATTTTGGATCAGGAGCAATTTATTAACTAAGTTTATTATGTAGAATTTATACGAATCTGGTGGGAGAAAGTTCTGGATACACAATACAGGGCCATTGGGTTGTGCTCCTAAAGAGCTTGCATTACATGTACACAATGAAACTGATGTCGACAGAATTGGATGCTTTCGCGTCCACAATGAGTTGGCCAAACTTTTCAACAAAGGGTTACATAGAATGTGCATCGAGTTGAGACGGGCATTGCAAGATGCAGCCATCGTGTATGTCGATATCTACACCATCAAATACAATCTCTTTGCCAACCCCTCAAAATATGGTAACAAAGACATGGCATATAATATTATTTGGTAAATTAATTAATATTGGTCATAGTGGTTTATGTGTTTGACAGGTTTTGTAGAACCATTTAAGGGATGCTGTGGGTCTGGAGGGCCTCCAAATAATTACAATGTGAAAGCGACATGCGGTCAACCAGGCTACGACATATGCAGAAATGTAACATCAGCCATAGTCTGGGATGGTGTTCATTACACAGAAGCTGCAAACAGACATGCAGTCATTAAAACTAGACGGCTTTTGGTGAAATTGTATTTTTACTATTTACCATTGAAAGAATGCAGATTTTAGCTGTGAAATTGTCATATCAATGCAAATGAGAGAGTAGATAGATCATAGACTTTAATTACACAACAGTCAAGCAGTTACAGAAACTTTACATGCTTCATATACCTTCAAACTATGTTCTCAATTTATACTTGCACATACACACAGAAAAGGAGAGTTGATGCACTGAATATAGGGTTACATTTACATTTTCCATTTCACAAGGGTCGGGATAACATTTAACTTGATCTGCTTTTAGTTCTAGGCAGTAAAAATGAACAAAACTCCTCCTTCGTTCCTTTTACAAACCAAGGAATGCACAATGCTTTCTGGCATGTTCCGGAACCAACTTTGTAAGCATCTCCACAGCCACCCCTTTAAGCTCTACAAAATTACATTTTGCTTTTCAGTATATATACATAAGATGGACTAAACAGATACACAGAACCAGTTACCACCAACTCATTACCATGAGGCTTGAAATTGAAAAGTGGTGGAAGGAAACGCCCATTTGGCAGCCTTGTAGCAGGATCACGTAACTCATCAAAGAATGGATGGATCAATGCCTCCAACTGTACATACACCACACACCCAGAATCTCTACTTAGGATCTCACAATATTGCAAATCTTACCATAGATGCAAACACATGGAAATGAACAAAATTAAAAATAAAAAGAGTTGTAAATTTCCCTTTATACTCACAGCTGTGCTTCGAAGATTTGGGGAGTACTGCAGGAGCCTTGAGACAAGATCAACAGCTTCTGGAGGCATCCGCTTATGGAATATCTGAAAATGTATTTGATTAGGTTCTATCCACACACGATTATCAAAGTTGAGACTAAATATTAGTTACCTTATGCCAAGGGTGAGCTTTAATCTGGGGAAACTTATATTCTGTATAGTTGGGGTTCATGCACTTGATCTCTTCCCTTGTTGGGGTACCCAAAACCTATGAAGAAACAAGTAACCATTTTTTAACATAAATTTGAGAAGCGGACAACCAAAATTAGTGCTTATAAAAGAAAAAGAAGCTAGTGTCTTTGTTTAAGATATATGGCGATCTGGGTGTAAGCTTCTAAGTAAAAACAGCAAGTAAATCAATAACATTTAAAGTTGCAAGGTAGCATTGTGTCTTACGGCTAAGTTTACATATTCAGGAGGTCAATTTACAATCATTTGCAAGTAACAACAAAGTTCACATCCAATTTCAAAAGTGGCAAAAGCACAAACAAAATTTACATGACATACTCTACCCAATAAATAATTTCAAAGAACATTGAAAGTCACAAGTACCTTTATGATTTCCACAAGCTGGTCAACTCCACTCTCACCAGGAAAAAGAGGCTGAAATCATAAGAGAGATATTCTTCCAGGTTATACAAACACAAGTTTAAATCCCCAAAAAAACAAGCAATTTATCACAAACTAGTTGGAGTAGGCTAAAAATGCAACCAACAGAAATTAACAATGGAACTTTCCAATTTCAAAACTCACTTTCTCATTGTTTTATCCCCCCCCCCCCCCCCCCAACACACACACTTATTTTATGAACATCCTCCACATCAATCACCTGTCAACAGAAGGCATTTTTCCTAACCATTTTATGTAATGATATGCTTACCTGATCTTCCACTTCCCTATCAACACCACCAAAGTTGCACTTCGTATAACAACACAAGGTGGATTCACATTTCAAAGGGAAAAGCATGTGTCTCATTCACATATACCAAACCAAACGAGCCCAATATAGCCCACCCTGAGGTGGGGTCTGGGGGTGGGATGTAGGTAACTTGACCTCTACCCCGAGAAGGAGAGTGGTTGTTTCCATGAAGACCCCCAACTTGTGAAAAGTGTGAAAAATAAAAAGAAAGTTTGCCCAAAAGAAGGTTCGAAAAAGATCAAGTTAAAAGTAAGCAACAACATACAAACAAGATATCTCAATCACATTCACATGCGTTGCAAGGAATTCTCAGCCACCACATAACCTGTATCGGCAATCTACCGTATGCCTTCATTAGATCAATAAACACCACAAGCAGATAAGTTGTGTGGCCCATAAGATCAATAAACACCACAAGCAGATAAGTTTTGTGGCCCATAAGATCAATAAACGCCATAATCAAGGCAACATATGTTGTGTGGCCCATAAGTTTGTTGCGTTGATTATCGCATCCATTCTCATAGTTGTGGACTAAGGTAATCTTCATTCATTAGGCATTCTCTTTAAAAGAGTAATATGGTTTATTGATTAATATATTTTTGAGAGAAACATAAAAAAGTTGCAAAGAGATGATAAAACTATGAACACGTAAACATAAATAAGTATAATACAATGAGACAACTTATGCAACACTATGATTTCACTACTACAAAAGCCAATGAACCAAATTTCTTAATTTGAACTCTTGTGCAACTCCTTTTTACTCTTTTCTGTTTACGGTTTAATAGTCTTGGTTCTTCTATTCAAATGCTCTCATTTTTTACTTTTGCTCCCAAGCTCCTCCTATTTTTCAACTTCTTCCAATCTTCTTTGACAAACTTGAAGCACTCGGTTTTTCACCAAAATTTTTGCAAACACTTTTCACAAGCACTCGGTCTTCACAGAAAAAACCGCTCTACTCTTTGGGATAGAGGATGAGCCAGCGTGCATCTCAACCCATACTTCCGAATTGGACATACTGGGTGTGCTGCTTTGGGTTTAAAATAACCCCATACCCTACTTCCGAGTGGGACATATAGAGTGTGTTTGGTTTGGTTTAAAATAACCTTTGGGATTAAACAAAAAAGAGTAAAGGAATGATATTGTACGTATTACTAAGGACAGTCGACATTAAAATAAAGATGCAAGGGCCTTCATACTTCTATATAGATAATGAACATATCTAAATACACGTCAATATGAAGCCAAAAAGATGGAAGAAACAAAACAAATGATTCCCTACCTGTCCAAGCAGCAACTCTGCCAAAACACATCCACCAGACCAGATATCTATTGCTGTGGTGTACTCGGTGGCCCCAAAAATTAGTTCAGGTGCTCGATAATACCTTGAACAAATATAAGATATGTTTGGCTCTCCTTTTACCTATCAAACCAATGAGATTATAAAGTGATACTATTGAAGAAATATTAACATAAAAACAACTATAAAATAAAGATTGTCACGGACCAAAACTTTTGCACTTCCAAAGTCGCATAGCTTGACCTGATGGGTATGTGGGTTTACCTGTTATGGAGAAACATAGTCACTTCAGTTATCTACCAACGTACTCAAAGAGATCTAAGGAAGATTGTGGATGTCAGGCACCCGACAAACACATCTGTAAGTGGCCTGAACCTATCTTGAATAGATACCAGTAAATCATGTACATATTCCTAATACTCTGAATTTCAGACAATTTATTCAACAATGATGATTTAAACGTTAAAGTAAATGGTACATAAATTAATCAACAATGTTAATTTAAAGGTTACTGTCAATGGTATATTAATAAATCACCGATGTATCTCACATTAAAGTTGGCCCATACTAGAACACATGGGCACACATGTGTGTTTGTGACAGGTCCCTTAGCTCACAGACTTTTACATATTCTTGACCAAACTGCTGTCAGGAAATTATCTATCAATATATAGAAAATGCACAAACATGTAGAGAAGTGTACCAATAAATTTTGAGGCTTGATATCCCTGTGACACACTCCAATACTACCATGAATGTAGGCCAGGGCTCTGAAAATCTGTCGCATAACAAAGCAAATGGCTTAGATATACAATTAACCACGGTCATCTCACAGACGTGGGAAGAGAAATTCCTACAGCATATCATCCACTGAATTCCAAATTAACAATGTAGCATAGTAGGGCAGAAACAATCTGTAATATGAGGTTTAGATAAAAGAAGATTTAAGGAAAAGAATTCTAACATGTTGATAAGAGTTAAAAAGTACTGAAGTTCAACAATAAAAAGATAAAGAAACCTTACCTGGTAACCATATAGTTTCACATAGATCATGGGCATTCTTTGGTTCATCTTGTTGTAGTGTTTAATGACTCGGTGAACGGTCTCAGGAACATACTCTAATACAAGGTTAAGATAGAGTTGTTCGTTTTCTGTCGTTGAAAAGAAACAATGCTTCAAGGCAACAACATTTGGGTGATCCAAAATGCGCATGGTTTGTAGTTCTCGATTCTTGTACCTCTTGTCCTGCAGAACCTTTTTAATGGCAACAGCTTCTCCGGTTTCTAAGCACTTGGCCTGGAATATATTCAAAGGCAGGTACATGTGAAGTCCATTTTTCCGACATCAGGTGATGAATAAACAAGGCAGCAAGCATCTGGTTGATGCATAACGAACCTGAAAGACAACTCCAAATGATCCATGCCCAACAACGCGCTCGGCCATGTAACTAATTGTCTGAAGCAAATTACAAACAATTGCATCACCTAGTAATACTAGTAAGGCAAGGCAGTCAGGGAAAAAAAATGAAACTTGCCTGTTTTGGCTGGCCATTTCTACCACCAATGGTTGTGACGATTATGTGGCCTGTCTCAGCCCCGTTGCCATCAACTATTGCAGGCTCCATTTCCTAGTGGTAAGATATGAAAATGTGTGAATGATGGTATTATATTATATATATATATATGTATGTATGTATGTATGTATGTGATGAGTTGAGTTGAGTTGACTAACCCTGTCATCCCTGATTTTCATGTCATTCATCTCATTAGGTAAGGTTTGAGCAGCAAGTGTAGTTCCAGTAGGTTCTCTTACTCCAGATGCAGGTAGCGAAGCCATGATGTTTTATGGTGTTGTTGTCTGCAAAGAAGAAGATTAGGCATGAGAAAGTGTAATAATAGAATCCTTGCTTGCTGGTGTTTTGATTGAAGAGAATATAAAGGTTGAATGATGTAAGAGTGAGAAGAAAGCAGATCTGAGAGAAAGGAAAAAAGGAAAAAGGGCAATTGCAAATTGAGAAGATGAAAGTAAAGGAATAGAAGAAGAAGGTGGTACCGATGGAGGTGAAGATGATCCTTGCAGGAAGGATCGGAGGTGAAGATGATGATGAGTTGCAGGAAGGATTAGGATTATTTTTAATTTTAATTTTTAAATAATTCCATCCAGATAAGACTTGGTCAAAACTGATGTGATGATGGTCTTCATTTAAAAATACAATTTAATGTGTATGTTCTTTTTTTTTTTTAATTAATTAAAATAATAATATATTAGAAAATATTGAATAAAATCATGATAGAAATTTGTTTATGTTTTGAATCATTCATAAATATGGATGGGTTTGAGGTTTGAGTTAAACATGTCCTTTTCATTTAAGTTTTGTATTATATATGTATATTTATATGTATATGACAATTCCACGGGCACGGAGTCACAATTAAACTTGTGTGGTTTCAAAGGAAATGAAAGTAGTATTACTATTACATCATGGATGGATATATATATATATATATATATGATTGTTTAGCCAAATCAGACATGTTCTGTATGTTGTATGTACGTACTTCTCTTCTACTTCATAAACACATCATCCCCCTTTTCATTTTGGTAATGAAAAGCGAGGCAATAAGTTTTCAACATGCATGATGATTGATCACAAACAAAGGGAAAACCTTTCTTCCTCAAAGATCTTGCCATAAATTTATAATCTAAGCATAGGATAGGATAGGATGTTGGTGTTACATCAAATGTCACTAACTTCCAACTTGGAGTAGGTTGCATTGCCTTCATTCATTTTAGAACACACCCCATATCATACTCTTGTCATAGCAATAACAAATCACATTATACATTAAACATTCTTAAATGAACCAAATCTACATTTCTGAACAAATTAACATCATTTTTCTACCATTCATGACTCTTAGGCTTTCAACATGCATATCTATTCCAAGGAAAACATTCACTGGATTCATCCCACCCATACCTAACAAACCGAGTGGGAGCTCCACGCCTTTCTCAAACTTGCCACCATCTTTCACAAGCTTGATGCGTGCCAAGAAGAACGTAACCATATTAAGGAACCATTCCAATTTCACAAACTTGCCATTTCATCCGCCTCACTTTTTTCACATGAAGAAAGATCGAATGTAGCTGTTAATCCCAATCAAACAAAGTTGATTGGTCGGACAGGGAGAAGACATGACCAATCATTTTAAAATTAAAAACAATGATGTGTCTTAAAATGATTGGTCGGACAGGGAAAAGACATGGGTACTTGTAGTAGATCTTAAATGTTCAAATAGCATATATAAAGCAAAACACATACCTCATAGATTAGAGTCAGAATAAGGTAGTTGATTGTGACATTAAGATATAATGTCATCCAAGGAGTATAAAATGATGCAACAGGATGGACGGTATCCACCCACTGTATAAGCCATAGAGCAACATATCCAATTGATCAATAGCCACAAGAAATACATAATGTTTGAGTATGCCCATGGCCAAGTAGCTTTTCACAAGCTGTGAATGCTCAAATAACTCATCCCAACCATTAGATATCAACTGGTTCACCAAAATGAATACCACTGTCATAATTTTTACTAACTCTACAATCATCATGAATATCACTGCACTGTTTTACCAAAATGAATACCATTGTCAAGAAATTCAGCCCTTGTTTACTAAGTTTTAGTCATATATGACATATGAACAGTAAAGCCTCTATATTTGCCCACTATTGTTAAATTCACCATGTTGTAGACAAGATTATACTACACACCGTATGCAGCCATTGCCAACAAGAATAAAAACACAAGGCAATCTAATCTAATTGGTTTCCTCTTATTATCTCTTACCAAATAAGAGGTTAAGAGGAAGAAAAAGACTTGTTTTAACCAAACACTCCCAACTTATTATAAGTATATACCATTTTATCCAAAAAAAAAACAATGATGGACTCCTACCTCCCACAAGCCCTTCATACATATGCTCTCCACCTTATTAAAAGTATTCCATTGAAATTCATAATGCACAACCACCTATAAGTTTATTTACCAACTATATAAGTTAAAGAAAAATAAAACTTTTATTTTAATAAAAAAAATACGATCAATTTCATTTTGGACTCAAGGTAATCGATGTGTTATATATTTATTATTATGATTTTGAATTTTAAGGTCTCACAATCTTTTCTTTAATTAATAGTATATTTTTTAACGTAGTTAGAAGGATATAATTGTCATTTGTACCCGAATACAAAACATGTATAAACAACCCAGAGACCTCTTACCATTACCATAGTAAATGCAAGATTGTAAAATTTTAAATTACTAGTTGGCAACAGCAGGGTGCAACATCTAATTGTAAAATAACTGGGAATAATTTGAATTTGTGTTAACTAAGGATGAATATGTTTTCTAAAATGCAGCTCCATGTTTACTAAGGATAGATATTTACCAATAATGGAAAATAATGAGCATTTCCAGAGGCAACAATTGTCTTTTTAACTTGTGTTGTTTCTGCCAGCCAACTAGTATTGTTTGCAGCAAATGTCTACCTATTAGTATTACCATTACATATATATATATGGGATTACTTAGCCAAAAAAGACATGCTTTGTTGTATGTACATAAGAAACAAGTATCTATTTCATTAACACATTATCCAACTTGTGACTGAAGTCAGGCTGAATCTGGGTGGTATGTCCTTGCAAAATTTGCAAACCTTTCTAACCCACGTCCCAATAAGTTCTCGAGAAAAGGTTGTAATGCCTGCTTGTATTTCACATCACAAACAAACAAACTTCATTACAAATCCATCTTCACCATATACTAATCTCAAATAAATAAAATAATAAACTACTTACAGATGCCACAGGGGCCAATAATTGAGGTACTTCATATGAAACAGTTAGCTGCAAAAAAAGAAAATTTCCATCACCAAGAGGCTGACTTATTATCAAATTTGACTTATTAATGAGAAACAGGCCCAAGTCCCATCCAGAAATAAACGCACACTTCTTAAGCAATTGATGAACTAATGCACTTTTTCATGCAAACTAGGAAAGGGAGCTGAAGAGGATCTCTATAGCCTTATAGAAAGGAAAAAGAAGTAAGAATGCGATTGAAATGGAATTTGGGCAAAGGAGACTTACTTCAACTAAACAAGATGAAGAACCTTTGGGAAAAAACCGTACAGCTCCTCTGCCACAATAACAAGCATTTCAAATTTCTTATATCAAGCAATAGGTATATGTTATACTCCAAGTAAAATTAACATAGCACAGATGATGCCCACACCTTTTATTCATTGGTTAAGGTGTGACTTTTTAACTTTTACTTGTCTACATATGTTATACACATCTGCCTTGTTATACGAATAGAATGCTACTAAAAACACCATGTTCTGTCTGATGCTATCATTTGGAATGATAGAAATTTTTTTCTTTTTTCTTCCTTTCATTGGTATCATGTAGAAATAGATTGTATCTTGGGCTTTAGCAATTTTCTCAAACATCCAGGAAATGCCTACGTATATCTTACCCCCCCGACCCTACTTCCAGGTGGGACATACCAGGTTGCTTGATTTGGTTTTTGTGAATCTCCTCCAGGGTAGGTGGTTGGGAACAACTGTAATTGTAGTACTTATCAACCTTCGTATGTTCTTGGCAACAGCCAACAATTAACGTCAATCTGGTATAACATTCTAAAACCTCTCCACCCTCCCTCTGTCCTTTTGTCTATACATACACACACAAACCTTCAGGCTATTATACAAGTCTTTACATGTACCTTATGCCCTGATAGAATCTTTTCTGTGTTATAACTAGACACAAAAACACCGGCTATTTAATCAAACCAATAACCCAGTACAAACAACTCCAGTCAGTGGAAGCATAATGGTGGAGAAAATAATGCTCAACAAGAACAGGACGAGGTTAATCATCACCTGTTGGGAAGACCTTCTAAAGATCTCCAGTGGATTTTTTGATTTGGGATTGGCTGTAAGATTCCAGCATAGCAAAGTGTAAGATTCCACCATAGCAAAGTGACATCAAATATACAAGAGAAAACAATTTCCAGAGGAAGGGAGCACCCTTTCACTTAACCTTACCTGCATATTACGAGCAATCCATGAGAATTCAAGATCACGCCCAAATGCTTTATACTTCAGAGACCACCGTGATAGCTCAGGCTTGTCTTCAAATATCTGGCAGTAGACTGGATTATATAAATATTATAAAAAATAACTACTCCTTTTTCCCATTTCCATGCTACATTTTCATTTCACGTGCCCCATGTCCATGACATGAGGATAAACATGATGGAATGTTTTCTCTTTATTTATTTATGTGCTGTCCAATCCTAGTTCTGAGTAAATCATGGAGTAGGGGTAGTGCTTTTTTAATTGTTTTAGTAGTTTGTAGTTTATAACTTGGACACTTGGTGAGTAGTTCTGTTCATGAATTCAAGTACATCTTCCATGAAATATAACAAGTGCTCATTTCAATTATATGTTCTCTTCTCTCTTTTATCCTATCAGTCGTGTCAAATGTTGTGAGAGAGCTCCTTAGATGGAGCCATTAAGGATTGAACAATTTGATTATTTTTGTAAATAGTTGGATCTATGGGTATGTGTTCTGAGGCTGAAAGTACCAACTTAAAGAGGAAACCTGAAAAAGAACAAGATGAGTGAGTCATGTCGTCTTTTAGCAAGGATGAAAGAACATAGTGCTAAGGATCAATTGGCTGGTTGCATTGAATACAGCAAATTTGTAAACAAATTACAATGAAAACAAGATATATTGTTCTGGTATTCAAGAGCCAGACCCCTACAAATCTAAAAAACTCACAAAATCTCAATGAATTGCTTTATTCCCCTCACATACAAAAATCTACTGCTTCTAACTAACTCGGGAGGACAGAATGCCTGAATTACCACAGACCTTTCTTCTATTTTCGCGTGGTCCCCCTTCTAGAATAAACTTCTGTTATTGGGGGTTTATCACATAGGACAAGCTCATAAATTTGGAGCAGTTAGTGCAGCAGTTTGGTAAGCTGTGAGCTGCAGATATAACACATATACAGAGACAGGATCCATCCTCCTACTGTATATTAATGATATAACCATTACAGGGCATAACTCATCATTACTGGGATGATGATTTAACTTATAGTCGCTCCATCACTGGGTATTGTTTCTTTATTGACGACTCTTATATCATGGCGTGGTGAGAAACAATCTGACTGCTCAATCCAATTACTGAAGTTGAAAACCATGCCCTTACTTACACTACTCAAGACCTAGTTTGGCTTATATGCCTTGCATCCGACATGGGCGCTACTCAAACCCCTCTGATTGTCATCTAACAACCAGAGTGTTATTCAAATGCACATTACACACAGATGTTGTCATGTTGATTGTCACTTTGTGTATGAACATGCGATTGGCAAGATTGTAACCTTTCCCTTCAGCTCAGACAAACCAAACTGCTGATGTCTTCACTCTTCATCGAAGCTCACCTTCCAAGACGTTTTCATGAACTTGTTTCCAAACTCAAGATGGTTTTACTCAATTTGGTCCTTCCAAAACCATCTTGAGTTTGAGGGGGTGTTAGATTATGTAGTTTATACATCTTTTGAATTGTGTTCATTGTCTATGGTTCCCTATGTAAATATCCTAGGTATATATAGTTTTCTATTTTCCCTTTTTGTATTTGAGGAACCTAAACATCAATATGTGCCTCCAAAGCTTTGGTCTCCTTGTATTGAATCCAATCATTGATCCATCTATCAATCATATTTGCATCCTAATAAATAAAACAAATAAACATGCGGCTTCACACATACGCCTAGCAAGAGAGGTAACAGGTTGTGGGATTCTAAAAACTCTTATGTATTATTGGTAAACCTCCAATCTGGTTTACTTATGCTAGGATGGGTAAGTAATTCAGGTATTCACTTAGTAAAATAAAAAGGGTTAGAATAATTGATGAGAATAAGGGTCTGTTTGTAATTGAACATAGTCTAGTTGGTTAGGAGTATATGAGTTGTTTTGGGGTTAGGGAGTGGGCGTTCTGTTTGTAAACTTTAGGCGAGAGTCCTTGGGAGAGTTCTAAAAGCATTCGATTAATACCTCTGTTAATCTAATTTCATTCCAGTTTATACCAGTTAATTAAAGGACTATAAATCCTAGAGGATTTTTTTTAACTTATATCATAATTTTAATGCAATGATGTTTTCTTTCTAACGCTTCCGCAAGTTGTGCATTTCGCTAGTTAAGACTAATGCCCAACTTCCCACATTGTGTAGGGTTGAGGTTATGGGTGTATGGGCTGAAGGGTGTCACAAAGATCAACTAACACCACAAGGAAACAAGTGCCAAAGCCTAAAAGTGGCAGCAAATCCAAGAGGCAACACTTGTGAGAACGAAAAAGAGGAGGAAAAATATATGCAACACAAAAATGAGAAGAACAAAGTTCGTAGTCTTGTAGAAAAGAGTGTGGCATGGCAAATTTAGGTCCCGTTTGGTTTGCGGGATTGGATTGGATTTGAGGGATTTGGAATTGAATTCCATTCCAACTTCATGTTTGGTTTGAAGAACTTTTAGGATATGAAATCCCGGGATTTCATTGAAATCCTACAAATATAGGATTTTGAAATCCCACGGAGGTGGTTGGTATTTCATGGATTTCGTAGGAAATATGTTAAAAATATTTGTCTCATAATAATCAATTGATAAAGAGAGAATTTTATTATTTTTGTACTTATTTATTATTTGTTTTTATAAATTATTAATAAATAATGAAATTCAATTCCATTTTGAATCCTGCAAACCAAACACACCAAAGAATCCAAATCCCTCCAATTCCAAATCCTTCCACGGAATCCAAATCCCTCAAAACCGTTCTATCAAACCAGACGCCCCCTTAATGTACTATCCATGTGGACATTACCATTCTAGAGTCATATTAATTTGAATAAATATCACGGCACAACAACCAAACAAAGGTAGAAACAATGGAAGATGAAAATTCTCTTACAAATTGTCAAATCCATGATATCTTGATATGGGATCTATAGCAATCACGAGTGTAGAAGTAGATAGGCTTGCTATGAACCAACTAAATCATTTCACAACACACAGATAATATGGAGCCACATTCACCATTTCTGGTTTGGAAGAGTGAAAGTACGATTTCAATAAAGAATACCTCCATTCATACTGCCAAAATGTCCTTTCTATTCCAAACTTAAAGACTAATGTGTTGAGTGCTAGGTACTTCAACAAAATGATGCAAGGTCAATATCTAAGATGCAGTCCGTCAATGAAATTCAAAATTGGCCTCAATTGCTCAAGTGAATAAGACAAAAAATTGAATGTTCCCTCGATATCTTCAAAACAACACAACTATGTTCCTATGCAAACTGAAGGATGAGGTGAGGCGTTGTTATGCATTTTTGGGGGATTGAAAATGCTAAAATAACTGAAGATGGTGCTAATATTAACCATAATTTGAACCTCCCAAAGAATGATGTAAAGGTGGTCTAAGAGACAATGCCATCATAAATTTCAATCAATTAAATCTCGGAGGGTGAAAATTGTGGTGGAATCAATTCATTATGACATTTACTATCTTTTAAACCCTACATCTAAAAGAGGTAACTTTAGTAGAAATACACGGGACTACTTCATGCAAAAGAAGTGTGAAGTTTTTGGAACTTCTAAGACGTTTAAAGCACTTGCTGAAAAAGAAACTTCTTGTCAAATTAAAAACTCCTATATGTATCGTTAGGGAGTATTCAACTCATACGGATTCAGAATTTTTTGGAATTTAGTGACAACTCAATACAGCTCACATGCCTCAACAAGACGGTATGTGAAAGGAAAATTAGCACAATCCTCAACATGATGTGAATCCTTTTTAAGAGCAGCAGTCTGCTTAAAAGTTTCGCAAACCAGGGTTGCTTCAGACTTTTATGATCTGTTGCTTATGCCACATTTTAGATGCAAAAAGAAAGACACCTGATGACAAATGGCAAAAAAAAGAAACATTTCTCTTGTTGTTTCTGAGTTCTGACGAGTCAAAGTACTATAAAATTATTCAATCCTATCATTATCAACAAGATGTTCATTGACGAAGAATCAACTTGGAATGGGAGCATTAATGATCTTTATCAGCAAATTCCAACACGTCCCGAGGTAGAAGAACAACAATGGCATCACGTGGAGATCAATCTGCTAGCAGATCAAACCATACAAGAAAATTGAGATGCTACTCCAAGTATGTTGGCCTGTGTAACAAATGATGAGCCAATGCTTAATGAATTGACAATTTAGAGAGTAGCTTTTGATGAATATAAAGAGTGGTAGTTTTTAATGAATGTGGAGAGAATGGGCAGTTCTAGATGAAAGATGAAAGAGTATGTAGCACATCCCTTAAGCATTTTGTAAAGCATATGTAAAGGCTATTACTTCATGAAATCAAGTACAAAATGAGTGTTTTAATTATATATTCTCGTTTTTATTCTACCAATACATACAGGGGATCTAAAATGGAGGGATTTGGGTAAAAAGAATGGACATAAGTTCTACAACACGTACAGGGGAACTGAAATATACGAAAATCCCATGTATGAAATCTACGACATCCCAAATGAACTTGGGTTACAAAAAATAAAAGACGGGAATCAGTTTTCCAGAAGACACCTTTTCTTCTACACCATATAGGTAAGGGACTAAACAATATTCTCATCACTTGCTTGACTACTATCAGGTGCATATAAACCCGAAAGAGATGGCTCCATGTGCTCTGAATCATTATGTGGATTCAGATTCAGGAACACTACCAAAGTTTTTCAAGGGAGGTTATCTTGACGTAGGTCTGCCTCTGGCCTAGATTAACCTAAGTGAAATGAAGTCTCTATCTTAATGCCTGAAAGTTGGATAGAATGGCCTTCACATAAGGATTATATTGCTCCCAATTTTTATAGAATACAGATGCTACCAAAAACACATGTCTCTAGAGCTTGTTGTAAGGCTTGTTGGAAAACCCGTTGTCAGACTTGGGATGCCCTCAGCATCGAGGAACGTGTACTAGGGTGTATGTGTGACTCGTTCAGATCATGAACTAGAACAAAGGAAAGAGAACAATGTTCGAATATCAATTATCAAACAGGATATAACTGAAAAACGAACTACTTTTTCTATCTAAAAATAACAAAATGGATCATATCCCTTTTATTGTGTATGAAATCTATGGTTTCTATTGGTGTAAATCCACTCGCCTCCACTCAAGATCAGAAGCAATTCTCCGTTGGTACTTGGTAGCAAATGGTTATCCATTAAGCAGAGGAAATATTAGTTAACATAGACCCTTCTTGCAAGAACGGACTAACAGGGTCAGCTAGAAGAACCAGATATTCGTCGAGCCGTAATCAAAGGATCTATGCGCACTCAAAGGCGTATCTAATAGCTCTGAATAAATTAAAGGGGATCTTCTATAATTTTGCACGTGAGGGGTTATTTCTTGGTTTCGTCCTGTCATTAATTACTTGATTATTTGTATATAATAGTAGATAGAAACAACGCTTGTAAGGAGTCCTATTAAAACCAAGAAATATGGGCCTGCCTACCATCCACACCAGAATAAATAGAGTTCTCCAAAAAAAAAACCTGCTAGTGGAGGACGGCCTCCTATAAACTCAAGCCAAGCTGAAAAATAGGCCAACCCAACTCGAACCAACCCGAAGCCTAGTCAATGACTAAAATCTACAAACCCATATAGTTGGGTTGGGGTTAGGCCCAAATCAAGCCAACCAGGCGGAGTAAGTCCAAAAAGTCCAAATATCCCTTCCTCGGAAATCTCAAACACCGTCATAGTTTATTAATGGATTCAATACATCATAACATCTGTCGTCACACCTTATGTTTAAACTTATATTTAGATGATGGTAATATTTTAGGTGGTTAAGCATTAACCACAAATGCTTGATATTCTTATTTTTAGGTTTCAAATTTTAATATAACCATTATGTTCAACCCGACCAATCCATCCCAACAACCCAACCCAACCCAACCCATCTGCACCCCTAGATTATGGTTGAATATATGGCACATTAACATGAAAACAAATTATACAAAGAACTGCCTTTCTCGAACAGGGACATACTGGTAGTAAAACATGGAATATCAAGTGACAAATTTCTTGTAAGGAACTTGTAATTAGCGCCAAGTTTGGTAATCTGGTTTCTATCTCAGATGAAATCTACTTGACACCTCTTAAGCCTGATGTAAGTAAGAGACAAAAGACAGCAAAAATATAGGTGCAACAATAGAAATGGTTACATAATTGAATCGCTTATGATGAGCAGATTATAAAGCATGTATGGGCAAGCACATATGCATGCTTGAGCACGCACCTTGACAGATGAAATGAATGGCATCCAACGAGGAATCGCTTCCCTGTCAGAATAACAATCATAGGCTATCGAAATTGGCACATCGATTTCCATTTTAACCCTGCATAATCAACATCTAGAAGATTGAAATGAAGATGAACCTCTGTTACAAATCAGATATTAGTGAAACTAAGAAGGTAAAGGGACTAAAAAATGCTTCCAGATTGGTAAGAATTTTGAAGCAATAAATAAACAGATCCTTGAGAAACTATTGACTGTGAGTCTATCTGGATGTCATGGGTTGCGAGATTTGGAAGGAAGAAAAAGAGGTTTAGAGGCATGAGGGTATAGATGAAAGAGAAGTACGTGCAGTCCTGCCATTCCATGATGAGGTTAGAGCGTCGAGGTTTGAAAGTCCTACTCCTGCCAATGCCATGAGGGATCGACCGAAGCGAGCGTCGTCTGAGGCTGATGCCGAGAAATGGCGAAGATGAAGATGGTAGCAAGAGTCGGTCTATGGTGAGGATTGTTCCCAAGGGTTCAAGGGAAGATGAGGCGGAGACGGAGAAGACGGCGGCAGTTGACGACATTCCGGAGAGTGAATCTAATCAAATTTCTGTGGAGGTGGCTTCTGCTCACTGCTCACCCCACTTAAATCAATATATAAAATGAAACTAGTTTTAGTTTTTATTTATTTTTAAAAATCATCATTTTAGTGGGCAATAATTGTGTTGTTGAGTTGGGGGAAGTTATTTATTATTCGCACAGCTACAAAAAGTTGTTCGGTTGGTTTGGGCTTATTCACTTGGTTGAATCGTTCAGCTCTCTAACATCACTCCTATGGTCTTGGCCATTAATATTTCTCCAATTACTCTTGATTTACCTTTAACTTTAACTTTGCTACGGTGAGAACTTTCAGCAACCCCAATCCCCCACTCTATGGCTTCACACGGCCGTTAACTACAGCCTTCCACCGACAACTGACCGTCGGCATATTCCTCACCCTTCGACTGACGTATTCCTCTAGGACCCCTTTGTTCTACGTATTTCTCGAGTTCGACAACTCAATTTCTTCCTCCAAAATCTTCGATTTCTTTTGCCCAGGTCATATGCAAACCGAGGTCGAGGCGTTCAATTACTTTAACCTCCAACATCGTTCTCTCTGGCTTTTAGATCTGTTAAAAAACCAAAATGAATGGGTGTCTTCCTTCAAGAGAGTTCATCGAGACACCATTAAAAGTTCTCCCTAACAACCAAAACTCGAAGAGAACTTGAAGAAAACCCAAACCCATATTTGAGTGAAGATGTACAACAAAGGGGCGAGCGGGTGGCCGATGATGGGAGGTGCAGGTGTTGGCACAGGGAGATGGAGGTTGGTGGGATGCCATGGAGATGATAAGAAATTGAAATATTTGTTATTTATGAAGAAAAAAAAACAAAGGGTAAAATAGTCATATATATTATTCAGAGTATTTATTCAGCACTGTAACCGAATAACAACTTATCTGTTATTATATTGAGAACCTTATCAACAAACACAAATTTATCCATACATATCTTAATAGAAAACGAACCAAACATCCTCTTAGTTTTTTATGTTAATGTTATTATATCTCGATTTTGGTATTTTGTTTTATTTTTTTGGTTTTTATAGATATTATAATATGAATCTATGTGGTTTTTAGCAAACAATACTGTTTTTTTTTAATATAAATTTAAAGATATCATGCAAATTAAAAATAAAATTTAAAAGTTCTCATTTTTTTTTGTGTGATTTATTTATTTTAATTATAATTTAGTTTAGGTTTAATGACGAAGTAATTCTGTTATAACTCAATAATTATCCTAATTATATTTTAGATATATTTAAAATGAGAATTTTATTTGGTATTTGATTATATTTATCTACAATTAGTTACACGAATTCAAATATGAAGCTTAATAAGTTGTATTTATGCAAATTTTACTTGTAATCTTGAATTTTAGAAAATATGCATCAATATTAAAAGATGATTAATCATGTCTCATCCGGTCTACATACTAAACACTACCTAAATAAACATAAATTTTGATTCAGAAGGATTTTTAAAAAAATCAAAATTTAATATATTTTTGGTATGTTAAATTAAATTAATTTTACATTCTGCAGCTACCATCATTTGCAAACATTTCAGCATTCTAAGAATACTACAATATCATTATGTTTCTCAATCATTTGTAGGATAAAGAAAGCAAACAACAACCTTTCAAAACAAATAAAGATTTTAAAATACTTAAATATTGTAACTTAAATGAATATTTTCATATAAGTATCAATATAGTTTTTTTTGATTAAAAAAAGAAAAAAGAGAATGAATTTGCACAAATATATTATATATTATCAGAAATTAAACTTAAAAAACGGCACAAGTTTTTGCTGGTAGATCGGTGGCCCATGAAAAACAATACCAACCCCAGATGATGATTGTACTTGAACAACATCTCTCCTCTTCTCTTTTTCTTTCCTTTCCTTGTTTTGGTTGCTTATCATCTCATCATCTTCAATTCAATTCCGTTCTTCTTCTGTCTGTAAATTTGGCAGATGGAAGAAGATGATCCTTGATTGATTGAAATGGCCAATAAAAATGGATTAGTGCTTTCCTCTGTAGCCCTAATCCTGTTGGTGGCTTGTGCACTTGGCATCATTGCCGCCATGCATTTCAAATCTGTCCAACAAGAGGAGCAGGAGGAGGACGATGAAACCACCACCTCCGTCAAAGCCGTCACCGTCGTTTGTCAGCCAACCCAATACAAAGATGCTTGCCAAAGGACCCTTGCCCCCCTTGCTAACCATTCCAAAGCCACCCCTAAAGACTATCTTTTGGCTTCCATTCGCTCTGCTAAACTCGAGGTCCACAAAGTCTTGCAAGCTGCTGCTAATTCTAGTGATAACATCCCTCCCCAAGACCGTGCCCGTATCCACGAGTGCACGAAATTATTGTCTTTTGCCATCCAAGATCTTGAGTCCACTGTCATTACCATGGAAACCAAGAACCGAACCCTTGGGGATCACATAAAGGATCTCCGCAACCGGCTAACTGCTGTTTATAGCTTCCAATCCCAATGCAAAGCCACCATTAACAAGTCAGGCCATAAATACAAGTCTCTTATTTTGGAGTTTATGCTAAATTCCACCCAACTTAGTGATAATGCATTGGCCATTGCTTCTGGGTTCTCCGAGATCATTAAGGAACTTAACATCGACCAATTCGCTTTCAGCCTTGATGATCTCAACCTCCAGTACTCCCGAAGACTTCTTCAATCCCAAGACGGTACTACTAGTCTTCCCACATTGTTACCTGCCAGGGATAGTAGAAGACCAGGATCGGCACCGGCACCGGCACCAGGACCAGGACCAGAAGCAAAACCAGACATAGTGGTTGCCAAGGATGGAAGTGGACGATTCATGACTATTGGAGAAGCAGTGGCAACATACAAGACGCCACTTCCACCTGGGAAGCAGAGGTACATAATCTATGTAAAGGCCGGGGAGTATAACGAGCAAGTCGTAATACAAAGACACCAAGAGAACGTATACATATTTGGAGATGGCGATGGAACGATTGTGACGTGTGATAAAAGTGCAGTAAAGCATAAACTGGAGACGCCTTATACTGCCACATTTGATAGGTTCATTGGTTTCTTACTGCTACCACTAGTAATTTGCTAAAAACAAATAAAGGCAAACTTAACATAATGAATGAGTTTGAATTTCAATTTCATATGGGTTGGGTGCAGCGGCAGAAGGTAAAGGATTCATGGCAAAATCGATGACATTCAGGAACACAGCAGGTCCAGAGGGTGAACAGGCAGTAGCCCTGAGAGTACAATCAGAAGGCGCAGTGATATACTTATGCAAGATTGAAGGATACCTGGATACCTTATTATGCCAAAATTATCGTCAATTCTATAGGGAATGTGTCATCACAGGGACGATTGATTTCATATTTGGAGAGGGATCAGCGGTGATCCAGAAGAGTGAGATAGTGGTGAGAAAGCCGAAGGCGAGCCAAAACAATTTGGTGATTGTGGCAGATGGTAACGAGAAACCCTACCAAATAGGTGGATTGGTTCTTCACAATTGTACGGTTCGGTTGGATAAGGATATGGAAATGGAAGTGGATAAGGGAAAATACAACATATACTTGGGGAGGCCATGGATGCCATCATCAACATCAGCTATCATGGAGAGTGACTTGGGTGGGTTTCTGAAACCAGAAGGGTATGTGCCATGGCCACAAGCACAAAATGAGAAAACATGTAGGTTTTTTGAGTATAATAACAGAGGAGCAGGTGCAACTTCAAACAATAGAGTGAAATGGATAACACTAAATATTCTTACAGACCCTGCTCAGGCACAACCATACACTGTTGCCACCTTCATTGATGGAAAACAATGGCTTCAACAACAACAGAAAAATATTGGTGCGCCTTTCTATCTTGGCTTCATTCATTCCTAAATATCATAACTTTTTTTTTTAGGTAAGCAGATTAAGCCAACGTTGGTGTACGTTTTCATTTATAGGTTGTTTCTTAATTAGCTTTTTAAATAATCATTAGGTACGGATGTTGAAAATGAAGTTTATTTAAAGATTCTTCTTATTATTATTATTATCATCATTATTATGATATATATAGAAACTACTATATAAGATTTTCCATTCCTAACAAATCCAAATGGTTATTATTTAAGCATCAACTACACAATACTAGAAAACTGGACATCAACGACCAATAATTTGTTACGGATCGATCCATCACTAATTTGCAACGGATAAGTGACAATTTCTAAATTTTTACTCGACGTAGGTATGATCCGTCACTAATCCATGGCAACATATACATATTTGCTACAGATTGAAAAAATTAAAAATTGAACTTAAAGATCTGTAGCAAATCCCTCGCTAAATAATTAAAAAAACTACATTTGCCACAACTTTGCTACGGATCTAATTCTACCCAATATTTAAAAAATCTTGATAAAATCCGTAACTAATCCTAAACAAATATATAAGATTTTTCATAGCTTTGCTACAAACCTAATTATATCCGATATTTAAAAAAAAAACAAATCTTGATAATCCTAGAAAATTTAGACATATCCACTAGTTTGCATCTCATTCGTTTCAATAAAGATATAATTCTAGTTTCAACCTGTTTATTTCTTTAAAAAAACTATATTTATTGATCTGAATTCAGAATCAAAAAGTATGTATCTTGTTTATTCGTAAGAGAACTTACTTTGCTCCTTACACATCTCAGTTACTGTCGATTCTCTGTACATAGGAGCTGTGGCATTTGACAAAGACCAAGAAAGTATGTGTTGTGCATTCAAACATTTATCTATGACAAAACAAAAATGAATAAATACATGGCACATGACAAGACGATTATGTGCCTGACTTCCTTCCGAATGTATATGTATGTAACCTCAAGGAAGGAAAGGGTTATGCGAGGGATATGCCTCTTTCTGCCTTCGGTAAGCCCTGTAGAAAAGAAAAGAAAAAACTATCATAATTTGGTTCCAACCATATATGCATTATGTGTTTAACAAACATTAATAATTCACTTCACCTAGTGGCACTGGATCCACCCAGTGCAACTGTTCCTAAAACAATAAATAAGAATGGGATTCCAATCAATGCATGGTTTCTGCGTCCTCCATGAGCCCTTGGGACTCCACTTCTCACCACCCATGAATTTGTGCCTATGCCAACCAAAGGATTATGTATATATATATATATATATATATATATATAACAAGGTGTCAAGCGTTACTCATAATTTATAAACTAGTAGTAGAATTACCTGAAGCTGAAACTTGTCTGCTCACACCTGCAAGTAAAACCAAGGAAGAGTCAGTAGCTGCTCACACCTGTAAGTAAATCCCATTATCCACTTCCCTTTGGGAGTTTTTTTAATTCTCTCTGTGAAACTCATTCTTCACCAAACAACCTTAATTAGATCGACTATTGTATCACAATACTCATTTGATTGTTTTCTGATTTCATAGACCAAGAGAACATTGATCACACAAATGTAATCTGGTTGTATATAAGAAATGACAAGGGGTAGGAATAGGATAGAGAGATGTGTGAAATTACCAGAACCAGACTGTAAGCATGTGTAAGCTTCGGAAATCTGCAAAAAATAAAGAGAGAAAGAAAAAGGATAAAGAGAGAAGGAAGGAAGGAAGGAAGGCAGGCAGAAATATGGTGGAAGCGGCTACCAGTTTGAAATTGGATTCAGCAAGAGATCTTTGGGAAAGGGGAAAACGATCTGGATGAGTTTCCCAAGCCTTTTTCTTGTAAGCTGCTTTCACCTAATAATTAATAACATGAAAAACAAATTGAGTTTGTGGATTGTGATGATAAGATGGAGGCCTGTTACTGTTACTGTTACTGTTGGTTGCTGGTACCTGAGACGAAGAAGGTGAGGAATTGGGAAAAAAGCCTAGCAGCATCCTGGCTTCCTCGCCAAGCATCTTCTTCTTCCTTCTTCCTTCTTCCTTCTTCCTTCTTCCTTCTACCTAGGGTTAGGGTTAGGGTTAGGGATAATTTCCCTCTTTTTATACATCATTGATCCTACAATTACATGCAGTAATGAGTAACCCCATCTTTTATTTCAACTTCATCAAATATAAACTTTATTTGTTATATTTATTATTTAAAATATATTTATCCAAACAAAATAATATATTAAAAAACAAAACTGTCTCCATCCTAATTAAATGCATCATTTTACTTCATAATTTTTTTTATTTTTTACTTTTTTTATTACAGTAATAAAATTTTAAATTATTTTTTTATTAGAAAAATCTTCCCAATTAAAACAATGAATAACATGTTCTCTTTTAAACCAGTTAATTCATTTACAATTTTTATTTGTTTGGTTTCAATAAGGTGATGTGGATGACGTGACTAAAATAAATATATATAAAAAACTATTGTAAATTATTATTAATGATTTTCATTTTTCATTGCTACGATTTAAAAAGACATTTAATTTTTTGGACTTTTTCTTATATTTTTTTTAATGATATATTATTTTCGAGATAACATGTGTTTGTAAAAAAAGAAAACACTTCTTATTTATATCGTTCAAAAAAATACATATCTTTTAAAGTTATTTTTAAGATATTAACGAGATAAATTGTGATTTTCTTAATATTGTTATATTATTGAATAATTCAAAAAATCTAATTAATTTAATATATTTATACACCTACTAATTTTTTTTAAACAAGAACAATATTTTTTTGGTAAAAGAATAACGATTCTTATTTTCTTTTTCCCAAATACATTTTTTTTTTAAAATATTAACGAGATAAATTGTGTTCTACTAGTTTTATTTATATTAACATGTTAATGAATAATGTAGAATTTTTTTAATTCATTCAATATATTTATTAAATAATATGTAAAAATATCTAAACAATCAAATATTAAAATTAAAAGTACAATGTTATAATAAGAATTAGTAGATGCTATAATAAAATAATTTTGAAAGTACAATGTTGTAATAAGAAATATCACATCATTATAGTATATATGGACAACCTACGTGGACAATAAAGTGACACGAAAACCTGGAATAATAAGTAAATTTAAATCAAAAACTATAAATTTTCAAGATACAACGTCCTAATTTGAAAGGTAATAAAAAAAACTAGAATTAGATTGTTATTTTGACCTCTCAAAATTGATTGTGAATACGATTATTAGTAAAGTATCTGAATTACTGAAATTTTCTAATATTTATATATCAAAAAAACAAACAGCTTAAAAAATCATTTTGATTTGAATATCTACATCTCCCATTCAAATAAAACATTATGATTGTTGGATTCTCTACTACAATTACAAATATAATTATGAGCGGGAAGTGAACTTGTCAAAAATAAGCAAAACAAAGAATAATGAATGAATATATGGTCTTCAAAATTGGATTCCATATAACATATTCATGTTTGGCTTTCAAAGAAAACTGTATCATTCTCGGATATAATTTTTATAAATAATAATCAATGCTTAATTTATTACACCAAATTTTCATAATATTTTTTATTTAAACTCGACAACTTCCAATCTTGAAAAGGTTTTAGTGAACCATTTTAGCAATTGGATCCTCAAACCAACCTCTCATCTCCAGTGTCTGCAGGAGCTACAAACTCCAGCATCTGCATCCCTCTTCCAGCCACTGCTATTTGGTACCGGTTCCTAAGAGCAACGCCATCATGCATAAGCAACAAGTGGTGAAACAAACCACAAAACAATGATTGATTTTCATACCTTCCACACACTCTAACATCGAGTGCTTCTGGCTCTGGTACACTAACAATCAAATGGGCATGCTCACTTAATTTACCATCCACCGATACAAGCCAACAACGCACACGCTGATCAAGCCCAGTAGAGAAAACCCATTTCCCATCTGTCCAAACACCTATACAACGACGCCACCTTCATCAACAAACATTGCCAAAAAAGAATTAAAACAAATATACAAGAACCAAAAAACCTTTTATTGCAGAGCTATGGGCTGAGGCAATTTTGGCAGCATGTGAAATTACAATCTGGTACTTTTTCTTTTGAGAATAATGTTGTAGTGCTGGCCCCATCACATCAAAACAAAAACAGTGAAGTGCTTGATCATCACCACCACTTATAACAATGCAAGATTCACAATCTCTTGTAGCATATGAGACATGGAGACAATTCACCCCAGATTGGTGAACATTGTTCACATGATGAAAGGGCCATATCATATCTATTTCTTGTGAAGTAGCCATGCTTCTTTCAGCACAACCTATATTTGATGAAGTTTGACCTTGCATATCATTCTCTAAGGTTTTTGTGTCGACAGCAGGTTTTTCCTTTGAGATGTCCAATGACCTCCACCGTCGTCCACCTTGGCTTCCTCTTCCAGTGCGTGGCCTTTTCTGGAAGTTGCTGCAATCTTCCTTCTGCAGGACTGATACTTTCCGCATAAAAATTTCAACAGTTTCAGTCAGATCCCAAAAGCTGATACTTCCATCTGTAGAACCACTAATAACGATAAACAGACTTCTGATCTGACTTTTATCTGAAAAGAACAAGGGGTTTTGATGTTAATTTAAAATATTAATGGAGATATATTAGATGCTGAGGTTTTGATTGCAACAAACATGTATTTTATATTTAATTCTTTTGCATTACTAAAATTCTAAGCATCCATCCAGCCCTGTGAAAGAACACATGGACAAACTCTAAATCAATCAACATTAGAAGATGAACCTCATCACCATAACATTGATCTATATAATATTATTAAGAGTCTATTGCATTGGAGAAAGTTTAGGAATAACCTTTCAAACTAGTAAGTTCAGGAACAACGACATGCTGCAGTGACAGAACTGGTGATGCTACAGGAACCAACAGAGCAATGTCAAACCTGCAATGGTCCAAAAAGAAGAGAATGATATCTTGTCGGATTTAAGGAGATAATAATTTATGTGATGTAATATATTATAAAACTCTATGGGTATTTAATGAAAGGAACTAGTCAAAATTTGGTAGAAAACTACAAATGAATGCAATTTAATATACAGGTCCTTCTATTCATCTTCCGCCATTTTTTTTCTTCTTTTCTTGGAGGGGGAAGAGAGGGAACCTATTGCCAAGTTTTGACCCATGATGATCCAAACATTACTATTGGCTACTTGGACTGACCGACAGATAAAACAGTTGCTACCTGACCCATTAGTTTAGCTAGTGGATTGACGCAACAGTTAAGAGTCACAGGTCAACATTTGGGGTACCAGTAAACAACAACGTGTAAACCGACAGAGAAGTGCAAGTTGCCCATATGATATTGGTAAGTGGCTTGATGCATACCAAAGACGATGTGGTAATACTAGAGCCCTTAATGTAACTGTGGCATCTGAACAAGAAACAACAATGAAGCACACAGAAGTCCTGCAATCAAACATAATATGTAGCTTCATCAATAAATTTCCTTTGGTAAAGTTGAGCAATAGCAAAATAAAGATAGCCACTTCTTGAAGCTTACACCACCTTGAACCCAAAAATTTCACAAGAAAAGCAGTTACTGCCAAATAGCGCCAGTCATTTTCATGATCATCGCTACAGCAAAATTTTGTCTGTAGTGAGTCAGATGCTCTATCAGAACTGACAATGGAAACATTATCAAGGTTTGCAGTGATTTTCTCCTTTGATCCTTTCAAATTGGTGCCACTGCTTCTGGTCGGAAAATCACTAGAAAGCCATTGGAACGACATTGATGAGGACCCCCCAGATTGGTTATTCTCACAATTATTAGGTCTGCCAGTAGACTGAAGAGCTTCTTCACTTTTAGGTCCTGAACTAATCTTGCGCTTCCAAGCAGTTAGGACCCTTTTTGCACCAACTGAAATTAGTAGGAACTGGTCTTCCTGATCATCTAAAGTTATTCCTTGCTTGTTAGGCATGGCCACTGTATCATCTACAACAGTATGTACCTTCAGCACAGAGCAAAGCGATCGCACAGCTGATCCACCAACATGCTCTCCAAGCAATTTTGAAGCAGACCAGTTATCAGCACCAGAAGAATACCTGTGTACATCTGCATCATTAACTAGACATACTTTGAACAAAGATAATGAGTTTCAATTTAATTGTGAGGTAAAGAGAAGAAAAGATAAAGTATACCAGCACCATACTGTGTTTCAAATACTACTGATATTGGAGACATGGTTTCAGTGCCAAAAGTGAGAATACAATTACATGTCCAGATTTGTTAGTTAAAATAAACAAACATAGAACGATAATACTGCAATTCACCATGTGCATACACCACTTATTTCACAAGTTGGCAATTAAACAAACCATAGGTTAAATGAACCAAACTAGCCACAATGGATTGTCCAAGTCAAGTTGTACAACAACTAGTAATTATACCTTGTCAACCTCACAGTTCCATCTTCACAGCCTGTTGCTATGAAACTTGATTCAAATAGATGACCCAGCTTTTCATCTGAGCTGAACTGTGTATAATCGACAATGAAACACAGTGAATGCATCTCTCTGCCATGGAATTGCAGATGGAGATTCTGAGGATATATCCTGTCACTAGTTGGTACCAACTGCTTGTGCATATAAATGACTTCATCCTGTAAGAGAAAAGATAATCAGCCAAATCGTACATCTCTCATATAAAAAGTAATGAATTCAACCACAAACCTTCACAAATGCAAAGCAATTGTTCATCTCTGGTGTATCACCAAGGAAATAAGTATGAGGACGCCGCCATCCACCGCATGGAATTACAGCTACCTGTTGCAACATGAAAGCATGGGTAGCCAGTATCAAAGTGTGTATAAGTAGGTCAAGCTAGACAGATGGAGTGGAAGAAGAGAAAAAGAGGACCTTTGTATCAGTAGACAAATTCCATATGATAAAATCAGCAGATGCAAAGCCTATTGCATAGTTCCCAGTTCCCGAGTTATTATCAGGATTGTCATTGTGGAACAACGATTCAACCAAACTGAGCTCCTTTACTTGTTTCATTCCAATAAACTCCATTCTTTGTTTACATCTATCATATTCCATATAGCATATGCACCCATCTCCTCCGGTCTGAAGGCCAATGAATAATTAAGTCATTGAACCAGGTGAACACATAATTCCATCTCCATGTAGTAAAACCTTGTTTTTCCATCTCCAATGAATAATTAAGTCACTGAACCAGGTGTACACACAATGCATTTCTAACTTCTAAGGCCCAACAATGAAGGATGAAACCGATGTTTTCACCAATTCCATTGATTTATCCGAAAGAAAAATATTTGAAGCATGATAAAAAAAATCCTGAATTGCAGACCATACCGAGTGCAGTTCAACATTACTTGACTTCGAACCATGGATGGAAACACTCTTCACAGTTGATATGCCATGAGCTCCTTTGAAGTAATCTAACGGGGATATATGTGCAACCGAAGCAACATGTGTACCATGCAATAGGTCTCTTAACAAGGGAAATAAAACCAGATTACCACGAAGATCCCCACACACTAACACCTGATAAGAAGAAGAAAGTGGCATTAACCACACACACGCACACACACACACACA